GTGGGTAGCCGCCCCTCTTCTGACTTGGTTTTCCTTTTCCTCAGGAGTCTTTGGGCGCCGCCTGAACGTGTGGAACTTGTCCTGCCGCACCCTCACCCAGTGCTTTGACCTGGGGGAGGACTCTTTGCCCCTGAGTGTTAAATTCCTCCACAACCCCGATGCTGCCGAGGGATACGTCGCCTGTGCCCTGAGTGGCATCATCTACCGCTTCTACAAGTGCGAGGCAAGTATTCCGCCAGCAGCCGGGGGGAGACCCAGCCCTGGTGAGCTACAGGGTGATGGAGAAACGCGCAGAAGGAATTTGGGGTAGCAGAGAGAAAGAAGGAGGCGAGTGCAGAGGGCAGTATCCAGACCCTGCTTTGAACATGTGTGCTAGAAGGAGAGGAGTCTGTTCTTCCACTGAGCGTAAAAGCCCATCGTGACCAGTTGGGACTTCTTTGCTGAACATCTGGAGGATTAATTTGAGCAATGAAGCCCAGCCTCGCTGTTGGTATCAGACGATGCTGTCGTTGCTTGTGTCTGCTCGTAGTAGCTGGGTGCAGTGGTAGCCTTCCTCAGCAGCTCTGCCTAGCTGTGCAAGTGTGTGAGTGCAGGGGAACGCTCTTGCCTGAGCAGGCAGGAACGCTCATGGTGCGGTGCCTGTGTTTCTTGTGCAGAGAGACAACTGGACAGTAGAAGAGGTGATTCGGATACCGGCCAAGGACGTGTCGGGATGGATTATGCCCAAGATGCCAGGTTTGTGTGGCCTGAGGTGGTCTTTCCTTTTTCCTCCCGGAGCGTTGTGTTGTGCAGCGTGGCAAAGCCCACTGCTGACCCGCAAAGCCTTGCTGCGTAAACTTGACGGAAGGCTGGTCGGAGGGGCTGAGGGGCTGTGCGCACCCCCAAGAAGACACTGCTGCCCCAGCTGGAGCCTGTGCACTTGGGCAGGTCTCCTGTGCTGGAGGCAGGACGTACAGAATGGCAGGGAGAGATGGGAGCTGGGGCTCGATGCAAGGCACGTTTTCTGTTGCTGCTGCCTTCTCTGGAGCTCTTTGTTTCTGTGCCCTAGCCTTCACAGCCGACCTCATCATCTCAATGGATGACAAGTACCTGTATCTCAGCAACTGGCTGCACGGAGACATCCGCCAATATGAGCTCTCCAAAAACTGCAAGCCCAGGCTGGTGGGACAGGTAAGGCAGGAGCAGAAGGGCTTGCACTGCTGAGTTCCTTAGCAGTATCTGGTGGTGGTTAGATGACAAGGCAACATGTCTCCCGCTGCCTCGCTTACAGGTGTTTGTGGGAGGCAGCATCCTCAGAGGCGGACCCGTGACTGTGTGTAGAGACGAAGAGCTGAAGTGCCAGCCGGAGCCCTTGGTGATCAAGGTGAGTTCTGCGGGCTCTTTGCCCTCTGGTGTCCTTTGGACTTTGGCTCTGCTCTGCTAATTCTCTGCCCAGGGTGTCTGGGGTAGGTCTCCATTGCAGTGGCCGTGTGTCTGCAGCATCTGGTAGCTTGCCTGGGTTAGAAGGGGAGGCAGCCGCTCTGCTCTGCTCTGCTCTGCTCTGCTCTGCTCCCCTGCCCCTGCTTGTGCTTGGCTGCTGAAAGCAAGAAGCCAGTAACATTACTGCTGTATGCTCTGCCTTCAGTGCAAGAGAGTGTACGGCGGCCCTAGCAAGATGCAGCTCAGCTTGGATGGCAAGAGGCTGTACGTCACCAACTCCCTCTACAGCACATGGGACAAGCAGTTCTACCCGAACATGGTCAGGTAAGAAACATTTGGGAGGGAAGGGGCCTCTTCTGCATGGCCTGTCTGCTAGAAACGGGAAAGGCGCCTCATCTGGGGGGCTACAAGGACGCGTTCGTGATTGCAGAGGGAGAGATTTTCCTAACGTTGTCCCCGCAGCTTCCTCCTGTTGAATTTCACACGCCGTTGACTCACAAACATCTCTGGCTGGGCAAGGTGCAGCTGCCTGTGCGGAGCTGTGGTGCCAGGGCTTTGCTTGGGAGAGCATAAGTGTTTCAGTCTGAAAGGTGGAGTGAATCCACCTGTGCGTCTCTGAGAGCCAGGCCATGTCTCTGCTACAGCATCTCCCAGTGTATCCACCAGAGATAGAATCATAGAATCATTCAGGTTGGA